TCCATAGGGCGGGCACTCTCCCCAGTCGCAGACTGAGATTGAAGACTCGTTGTAGCGGCTCCCCAAGTTCAGCAGCACATGCCTTCTGAATAACAATCCTGGTCATGTTTGGGGAAGAATCGTGACAGCAATCTTACCAGGTCACATGTATATTTTCTGCATCAGCCTCAAAATGGAAAGCATGTTGGATTTGCATAAAGAAAAAGTCTGTGGCAGAAAGAGAGAGCAAAAGAAAAAGGAATGCAAATGTTTTACATTAAAAAACTCTAATACATTTATTATCTCAGTCATTTTCACTTCTACAGAAAGAAATCATTTAAATAAATTAGGAAAAGCAGTGTTGAGAAAGGGCGATTTAAGTTTTTGGGCGAATCATCTTTTCATAAGTCATAAGTGTAATAATCTCACCAGCACATTCTTTATATATTTTTCATTTTCATTCATGCCAAGTGTTAAATGTATAAATATTCAAGGCCTAAATTTTTGGCAACGTGTGAGTAGCTGAAGAGTGAATCTATATTATTGCTCGTCTCCAAGAATTTATGCACCACAAAAAATCTGCTTTAAATTCTGCATTGATTGATGAAAGTGAGGCAAAAATTGAATCGAGGACTCTCCATGAGAAGAGATGTCACCCAAAATTCTCCCCACACTAGCTTTGCAAGGTTGGATCTCATCTCATTGATCTTATTGCAGCTTTTGATACATTCTCCCACCACACCGTCCGCTATAGATTAGTCTCTAATGGCATAAACAGTCACTCGCATGGTGTTCTCGTACCTCTCCGGCTGTTCAGTTTGTGCAAATAAATATACATATATATCAGTATAATTCAGATTATTGTGGTGTGCCTGTCCCAGGGGCTTTGCTCTTCAATATTTATCTTCTACCTCTCTGCAATATTTTCAGGTGATATAACACTCATTTCTGTTTATCTTCCAAACCCACTGCTATTCTCCCACCACGTCTCTTTCTGATTGTTTAGTTAAAATTAAAGTTTAGTTTACTCATAATTTTCTTTAACTTAATAATAATGAAAATATAATTTATTTTTATTGCCATAAAATTGATGTGGTTTAAAACTATTAGTTATTCATTAACTATTAATTAAGAACATTAAGAGCTGGATGGCCTGAAAGCCATAATCTGAGATCCTTCCCAGACGCCTTAATGCCCACTCGCATCCTGGGCCATTTGACCTCAGCAAATCACATGATAGGGTGGGACTAGGCTTCACAATGGCTGATTGTGACCCACACCCGTTTTCACACATTGGCTCGTGGGATTAGGCAGAGGACCAATAGGGGGTCCATGACCCTCTTGGGAGACACTCCCATAGGGTTTAAAATCTGGGGCTCTTAGAACTAAAGAAGCTTCTTGGATGAGAGGTGAAACGTCTTCAAGGAAACTTAAAGTAGTCCAGACTCTTTTCTTTTCAAGCTCTATAGACTAATCTGCCCATTACTTTATGCAGGATTCCCAAGTTAGAACATGTGGCCCATTATGCTAGAGCTTCACTTGGTAAATGTAGCAGCCGCCTTCTTCCTTGACCGGAGATTTGCAGATCTGGTTAAAATATTGGTGACGCAATGCAGATGATGGGAAAGCTAAAAAGTTTATCGCCAAAGCAGATAAGTAGAAATCTACTGTAGCAGAATACTTATAATTTCTCAAACTTAACATAATTGTTTAAAATTAAATATTGAAGTTAAATGGTTACAGCTGGCTAAATAGCAATAACTGCAGTTCTTGCATGTTAAACTGTTTGTTGCCTTTGACTGGATCTCTAGTCAAACAAAACCATATAAACCAGGGGAAAACATGAGACTGAGAATATTGGATATTCTCAGTCTCACATTCATTTTTATTTAGAAAAGGAAATTAAAATACTCTTGGAAAGGCTGTCGTAGTTCTGACTTTGTTTATAGAATAATTCTGAACTTCAGCTAAACAGCAGTAAAAACAACGAATGCTCTAACAAGTATTTGGAGCCACTCACTTATTTTCATGGAGAACAACAATAACAACAACAACAAAAACCTAACAAACAAATTTAAAAAACACTTATTTACATTAGTATATGTGAGGGGGCAAACTCCTCAAGATGGGTGGTGACCATGGTGGCCATTTAGAAGTCGGCCATCTTGGATACAACTTTTGTTTTTTCAATAGGAAGAGGGTCATGTGACACATCAAACTTATTGGTAATGTCACAAGAAAAACAATGGTGTGCTTGGTTTCAACGTAACTTTATTCTTTCATGAGTTATTTACAAGTTTCTGACCACTTATAAAATGTGTCCTATGTGCTGCCCATTGGGTTGGATTGTCAATGCAACCCTCTTCTCCGACTCTTCACACACTGATAGCAACACCGCAGGAGAAATGCCAGCACAGGCATCCAGCATCCGTAGTTTCAGGTGCTGCACGGCTCGTATCTTCACACCATAGACAATTGCCTTCAGATGACCCCAAAGATAAAAGTCTAAGGGGGTCAGATCGGGAGACCCTGGGGGCCATTCAACTGGCTCACGACGACCAATCCACTTTCCAGGAAACTGTTCATCTAGGAATGCTCGGACCTGCACCCATAATGTGGTGGTGCACCATCTTGCTGGAAAAACTCAGGGAACGTGCCAGCTTCAGTGCATAAAGAGGGAAACACATCATCATGTAGCAATTTCAAATATCCAGTGGCCTTGAGGTTTCCATTGATGAAGAATGGACCCACTATCGTTGTCCCCATATACCACACCAAACCATCACTTTGTTGTTCCAACAGGAGGAGGAGGATCCATCCAATGTGGGTTAGTGTCAGACCAATAGCGATGGTTTTGTTTGTTAACTTCACCATTCACATAAACGTTTGCCTCATCACTGAACAAAATCTTCTGCGTGAACTGAGGGTCCTGTTCCAGTTTTTGTTTTGTTCATTCTGCAAATTCTGTGGCCGATCTGGGTCATCCTCGTTGAGATGCTGCAGTAGCTGGAGTTTGTAAGGGTGCCATTTGTGAGTAGCTAATATCCGCCGAAGGGATGTTCGACTAATGCCACTCTCCAGTGACATGTGGCGAGTGCTACGCTGTGGGCTCTTGCTGAATGAAGCTAGGACAGCCACTGATGTTTCTTCATCAGTGACAGTTTTCTTGCGTCCACATTTTGGCAAATCCAACACTGAATCAGTTTCACGAAACTCAGCAAGCAGTTTGCTGACTGTAGCATGGGAGATGGGTGGTCTCGTTGAAATCTGCTGCAATGACCCGGTTACTGCGTTCACCAGATATCAACACAATTTCGCTCCTCACGTGTTAACCTCTTTGACATGTCAATGGCTGTGAACAAAGAGAAACTTGTAAATAACTCGTGAAAGAATAAAGTTACATTGAAACCAAGCACACCATTGTTTTTCTTGTGACATTACCAATAAGTCTGATGTGTCACATGGCCCTCTTCCTATTGAAAAAACAAAAGTTGTATCCAAGATGGCCGACTTCTAAATGGCCACCATGGTCACCGCCCATCTTGAGGAGTTTGCCCCCTCACATATACTAATGTGCCACAAACAGGACTTTAATATCACCAACCATTCCCATGTTATTATGGTGTATCCATATAAATGGCCCACCTTGTATAATACCTATAAAGAAGTCGCTTTACATGCATCAAAGAGTTTCTAATTTTAAAATTCACATAGTTTTTTATATATGCTCAGTTCAAGATTAAAATCAAAGACCTGGGGCAGAGCAGGTCTGGCCCAGAGCACGCAGGAAGATGTTCCCAGTGTTGTTCAAATTTCAGGAAATGGTGACTTACAGTCATGTATGCACAGGGTCAAAGATCTGATCGTGTTTGCTGTGCTCTACAGATGGGGTTTGATGGGCCGCTCTCTGCACAGGAGCAGATGTACATCCTGTATGAAATCAAAATGCAGTGCTACCAGAATCTCTCCAACACTGAACCAGGAATCACAGGTACAAACCATACACGCAGATACACACAGTCGCTGCAAAACAACACTCAACTCATTTGAGCTTAGCTGAAACATCAACACTTTAAATTGTATGATGGGGGAAAAATTAGGACGATTCCAAAAATAATGGAATCAATACTTTTGATTAAACATCTTTTCCCAACTGTCAGTAAACAGGGAAAATTAAAACAAAAGGAAATCAATATTTGATGTGACCACAAACTCTTCTGCACTCCTTATCTCAATTAAGGATGCTCAGTGCTCAGAGAGCAGAAAGGAGGGAGTCATATTTGTATATGGAGCTTCCACTTTTGCAAGCAAAAAATTGACGAGTATCTAAAAGTGATTCTTACAACCTAAACCCAGGATTTAAAGCACACCCTCTGGCTTCTGCAACCCGGTTGGGTAACAGGGGATGTGCTCAAACAGCCAATAACATAACATTTGTGCTACATATGTGATAATCAGAATCAGAATCAGAATACTTTATTGATCCCGGGGGGAAATTATTTATCTGTTGTAAGATCTGTTTGCATTTAATTCAACTTTGCAGAGCTGATAAGAAATTAAGTCAATAAAATCAAAAGGATGTTTCAAGGACATTTGAACTAAAGACAGTTTTGTTTTTTATTTTTCCTTTACAGTATATTATATATAAACCAATTATTTATATAATCTTTTGTTTTCAACTTGAAACTCTCGTTTGTTCAGCTTTCATAACCAGTGATTATGCAAGTATTTAACAGAATAATAGAGGCTAACATTTCTGTGCTCGTTAATGAGTAATTTCAATTAAAACACCACATGTTTGGAATCAATTTGAAATCAGAGCTGCAGCAGCAAATGAGCCAGCATGCTCCATCAGAAGTGGGCGCAGCTTACCCCTCAGCCTTCAGCACCAGACCTGGGCAGACTGCAGGGTGTACATTTCTCTCTCTGGATGCTTTTGTGCTTTTTTACCTCTTTATTTTCCAGGTGGCAGGTGTATAATCACTGATGGACAGTTGGTCTTGCCTTCCAGAATACATAAAATATTAAACAGCTGATTTTAAATAGTTTCTTGAAATAACTCTTTTCTTTTTGTTAATGTCACCAACGGCAGCTGTGAGTGTGCCCTGAGTCTGTCCTATAGGTCCTGTGGGCTGACATTGATTTATTGTCCCAGATGTTTAGCACTGGGCTCAGACTATTTCTGTTCCACAGAGCTTTTAGTGAAACAGAAGAGTATGACTGTGTCTTTCAATATTACACGTTACAAGACATACACAGGAAGTAAAGCTGCTGTGTAGGGAGCCTTTTTCAGTATTTCAGGCTCGTCTTCACTCTTTTGATCCAGAATGAAAATCAGAGGGCACAACAGTCTCAGATTGTGTTGAGGTGCACGCACACAGAGCTCTTCAACATCCCAAATCAACTTTCACATAGTTTTGCTTTTATAGCTCACATCACCCGTATTATGTGACATCTTGAGATATGAGTGAAAATATAGTTTTCAATGCAGATGAGGCAGATCTGAGAGGTGTTAGATTAATGCCTGCCTGCTGTAATGTTATTTCAGCCAGTGTGATTTAGGCTCTAACAGAAACATCAGCAGACTTTCTGATGTCCTGGTTGATTCCCACATCTGGCTTTGTGTCAAATTCTTCCCTTTGGGCTTTAATTGATGTCATTTATAATATGCACCATTATCCCCATATCTAAATGATTTAGTCTCACGCCTCCCTGTGATGTCAGGAGCTGCCATTAAACCTTTGGCCTTCTAACACATTCAGAAACTGTTGTTCCATCTATTTCCTTTCAGATCTAAATAGCAATTAAACGTGTAAGTGGCTTTTAATGAAGGATGGTCAGTGAATCTGTTTTTTTGGCTACTCGCTAAATAAACAAGTCACAGATTGTGTTTCCTGTTGAAAGGGTGTTTGGAAAAACTTGCCTGCTGAGGCAGTAATTAGATGTCATTAAAAAAGAAAGCAAGAGTGAATAGTTTGAGTTGAATCCAGGCTCAGTCACTGTAATTGAAATTATACAATAGGGCTGTGCGATATGACCAAAATCTCATATCCCGATATTAAGACATCTACCGTTGATAACGATATAAATCACAAAAATGTAACATTTTCTGTAAATTCTGTGAAAGTCGAGCTGACTTGCGTGAAGTGTTTCCAGCTGGGCGTCGTGTACCTCAGGGGTCTCGAACTCCAGGCCTCGAGGGCCGGTGTCCTGCAGGTTTTAGATGTGTCCTTGATCCAACACAGCTGATTTAAATGGCTAAATTACCTCCTCAACATGTCTTGAAGTTCTCCAGAGTCCTGGTAATGAACTAATCATTTGAATCAGGTGTGTTGACCTAGGGTGAGATCTAAAATCTGCAGGACACCGGTCCTCGAGGCCTGGAGTTCGAGACCCCTGGTGTACCTGGAGTCGAGTGTTTTAACCGATGCATGAAACGATACATTTTTAGACATAAGTTTTAACGGCGCTGTTTTCTTTGTGAGTATTTATTACACGGCGTGCTGCGGGGAAAAGCCTGTTCTAACGTTTGAGTCCAAGGTTTATTTTTTAGCACTCTTTTTTGCTTCTCATCCGTAAACACTCTGCATCTTTCACGTCATTCAGTTTATTTTGAAAAGTCTCAACAGGATCTTGAGCTTTATTGTGAAAGGTTTATGTGGAACAAACGGACACGCGGTGGTTTTACCGTCGTTGTTGCTAACGACAACGCATAAAAACAAACGCTTGTCCATCCATAGTGTGGTTATATTAAATATAAGAGAAAGAGACAACTTTAAGAAATTAATATAGCCACTACAGTGACCATCAAAACGGTGAAAAAATATTGCCGTTAACATTTTATTTTGCGACACCACAAAACAAACGATTGCGTAAAATGAAACTATAGATGTTTTTATATCGTTATATCGAACAGCCCTATTATACAGCTCAAAAATATTACAGGAACACTTAAATCACACATCAGGTGATGACGACTGAAAACCTCGACTCGTGTCTGTAATTTGATTAGAACAAAATGACACAACAGCAGTCAGTGGAAGCTGAAATCAACCCTTTGAGGTGTGGATAAAAAAAAAAAAATCACACCAACGTTAAAAGTTTAGATGATCAAGTGTTCATTTAATGGTTTTTCATCAGAGATTCTCGTCTATATTAAGATGATTTCTTGGCTGCACATTCCAATGTGGCTCTGTTGGATTGATACAGTGAACTCTTTTGACTTATTAAGCACAAAGACACAAAGAGAAAACAAAACAAATAAAACGATAAAGCAGATGCACGAACACCACAAAATTACCCGAATCTGTTTGGATAGGAAGGTCTTTATCTGTTTTTAAAGCCTTCTCTGAATTCATAACAAAAAGCTTAGGGCAATGAGGAAACTCATTCTGGAGTGTCCAAGTCGTCACCACCACAAAGGCCCGACTCTTTGTGGTGTCGGGCCTTTAAAACTGCTGTTTTAACCTCCTAGGACCTGGCATCCACATATGTGGACATCACATTTTAGGTTGTCTAGACCAAAATACTAAATTTTGCTCTACAATGGCCTGATATCCACTTATGAGGACATTATACTGCCACTGTTCTATTGAAATTTAAAACGAATGTCCTCACATGTGGATCTCATTTTTCTCAAACAAAAATCAGGTAAAAACATTCATCAGGTCCCAATCAGCCCAAATAACAAAGAGAAATTAAAAGTGCACACCATGAAAGAATTCGGGTTTTAGGAGATTAAAGGCACAGCAGTAATCTCTGCTCTGAAAACTAAAAAGGAGATCAATAATCAAAGCTCTGAGACCTACTGGGGAGAGCTAATTTTCATGTTTCATAAACCAGTTTGAGATGATTTCATCTTTGTGACACGGAGCGTTACCCAGCCATCAGGTGATGGAAACGCTGTGGATGTAAATGGACAGACCTGCTCAGCAACAACGCTCAGGTAGGCTGTGGGATTCAAACAGTGGGTCCAAATAAACATTCGCCACATCGTTTCACCACCAGCCTGAGCCGGTGACCTGGGATGGAGCCACACTTGTTTGTTTTTAAATTAAATCCTGAATCTGAATATCGCAGCAGAAATCGAGACAGTTTTCCAATCTTTTATTGTCTTGTTGTGGCGACACCAAATTATAACCCGTTTCCTGTTCTTAGCTGTCAGGAGCGGCCCCAGTGTGGTTTTCTGCTTCAAGGTTCGGTGTATTATATTCAGAGACGCTTTTCTGCATACCTCAGGTGTGAATAGGGGCTATTTGAGTTCCTGTTGCCTTCCTGTCAGCTTGAAGCAGTTTGGCCATTCTCCTGACATCTGCGAGACATTTGTGCAAAGGAACTGCTGCTCACTGGATGACAGACCTTTGTTGATCTGCTGGCATTTTCTGAGAAAAGCATCTCAAGGCTTTACAGTTTCTGAAATACTCCAACCAGCCTCTCTTGAACCAACAATCATGCCACATTCAAAGTCACTTAAATCCCCTTTCTTTGCTACTTTCATGTTCACTTTGAACAGCAGGTTGTTGTGACCATGTCTACATGGCTAAATGATGTGCTGAGCCGACATTAATGAGCAGTTGAACAGGTGCACCTAACAAAGTGGCCTGTGAGCGTACAAGCCTATTTGCATCACAATGTGAATGGATATATATGATAGAAGTCCATATTCTTGGCATGTAAAACAAACAAGCACACATAGGAAAAACAGAGGGTATCATATCGGTGACGTGTTGACTTCTTCATCTTCTCACTGCAGATGAGGTGTGCCCTCCAGACTGGGACGGTCTGATTTGTTGGCCCCACGGCTCCCCCGGGCTCATTACCAAGGTCCCCTGCCCATCGTACATCTATGACTTCAATCACCAAGGTTAACACTTTTCTTTTCCAGCACTGAATTAGAGCTTAACATGCAAAGAAAAACTCAAACTGTTCAGCGAACATCTAATACAAGCATTTTCAGCATGACTCGTTATATTCTCAGGTAGCGCGTACAATCCGAAAAAGAGTTTTGAGGATTTTGAAGGTCTTGGACAAGATGAAAGTTTGCTTTTTGAGAAATTTTGCTCTGATGTGTTCTTCAAAGAAAAGTGGAACATCATATTTGGTGGATAATTAGTGAAACTGTGTGGTCCTTACAGCAGGATTCTTGAATAATTTCAGCTTCATATTCAGGCCACAAAGAAAAAAAATTAAAGAATTAAAGTGGAACGAACTCTGTCCATCACATCGAGCGTCAACATTAATGTTTTAAATTCAGTCATTAATAGTTTGATTTACATCCGTTCTTTTCCTGATGTGAAAGTCACAATGAATTGAAGGTAAAAAGGTTTTTAAAGGCATTAAAAATAATTTTTTCCCTTTTATATACGACACAGAACTAAGGTGTAGTTTTTATTATTCATTGTGATTAATAATTTCAGATCACCTGTGTAAGAATAGATGTGTTTGGGCCATTTATGCATTAGTTACTTAAACCTTTTTAAAGGTGTTTTTGTTTGAGTGAAATTCTTTTTTATTTTTAAAATGGGCATTTTGTAGGACATGCTTACAGGAAGTGTGACATCAACGGTTCCTGGGTCTTTGTGGAGCAGTGGAACAAAACATGGACCAATTACTCAGAGTGTTTACGCTTTCTCCAGCCCTTCAGTGACGAAGATGGGAGAGTAAGTATCACTATAAAATATTAAAGTTGCAGCTGTATGTGTGAAATATGTTTTCCATTGTGAGTATACAGTAAAAGTCTCCAGCCACCCCTCATTTCTGTACATTTTGCTTCCAAGCAGCCAGACTTTCTCTTAACTTAAGCCTGACGACCTTTCCTGGGTGCATACTGCACGATCACACCACTGCACCACCCTTTTTCCTATTATTAATGAACTCAACACTGGCTTTGAATCATTCAAACAAAACAAAAAAAGGTCCTAAATCAAGAGATGAAGCAACTATGTGTCTAAAACAGACAAGAGACAACAAAGAACCACATTTAAATTGTATCTTTTGGCACTTTATTACAAGCAGCCTGTTGCAAAGACACATTTCTTCCTGTTTCTTCAGCTGAAACCATGAAAAATGCCAAAGATAACACAGTTTGACAGGCATGAAATAGTATTTTTACACCAACACGCTGCTATAAGCTGAAAACTTGGCATTGTTGCCTCTTAACTCATTCACTGCCATTGACGTCTATAGCCGTCAATGGCAGTGAATGAGTCAATGGGTTTAACTCATTCACTGCCAATGGCTGGCAGTGAATGAGTTAAAAATTTTAAGGACACTAGACAAGTGGAGAACAAAAGAAGAAGTGACAGGCCTAAAAACGATCCACTGCAGATGAACAGTGTCTGAGAGCCACACAGACCCGACGCAGGAGCTGAGAGATGCACCTGAACCTTCAGCTGATCCACCCGCTGTTCACCGAAGCCTCATCAGAAATGGAAGGGTGGCTGTCAAGAAGTCATTTTTAGAGAAGGGAAGCGGGAGGAACGCCTGATGTGTGCTTTAGACAAGAGACAACTGGGCTGGAAGTCAGTGGCAGGGTGGAGTGATGAATCTAAATTTGAAAATATTTGGTTCAGATCTTCATCGGTTTGTCTGTAGGAGGTCTGGGGAGGTACACTGAGTATCTACACTTGCCTGTAACACTCTGTGATGGGTTGGAGCTGGATTTCAGCCAGTGTTGCTGGAGAGCTTGTTAAAACGACTGAAAATATGAACGCAGAAAAGTACCATTAGATTTAGATCTACAGTGTAATCCTATCTGGAAAGCATCTGATTTCAGCATTCAGGCTGTGCTGAAGAAAAAAGCAGCCATACAATTTCTTTGACTTTTAAGCTCTTTCAAAATGTACAAACTGTGCTTTCACCTCACATACTGTTTCCATGTTTCGATAAATTGCTGCCATATCTTCCATTTTCCCATCTGAATGTAAATAAACGAGGGGTGAATCAAGCCTCGCGCAGTGTTGCACACAGGTCAATAAACATACATAGAGCAGACCTCTGTGAATAAGCCTGGATGTTCTCTGAAACATCTGCTGCCCCGTCTGCTCCATCTTACACAAACATCTGTTTGTGTGCAGAGCTTCATATTCTTACCTCGAGTGTCTAACAACCAAACAGCTCCTCATCCTCTGAAGCTCACGTTCTCACCCTTTTTACTTGTTATCCTTTAACACAGCTTTCAGGCTCTCATCACAGGCTGCATATTTATGAGTTGTTAGGTGTTCATTATGTGTTCCTTCTCAGGTTGTAGAAGAAAAACGATTAAAGGAAATCTGAAACACTGCTAACTTTTGTACAGCAGGATTATGACAGTCTTATTTTCTACTCAGTAATCAGCTCCAAAAAGCATTTCTTACATCCTCTACGGTACCGTCCGCCCAGATATGCCCCCCCAATAAAATACAAAGCAGACATTTGATAAAGAAACCAAACAAAGTGTTCTCAGAAGCTGGTGACTAATCATATAGCAGAATTATTTCAGGACAAATAAGGACACTGTGCTCCAAGCAACCAGAAAATAAATAAAATTTAAAAACATGTAATCATGCAGACAGTCTGCATCTCTTGAAGATCAAACATATTAATCAATATAGCCTAGCATCCGTCATAGTGATTAGTGTGCTGTTTGGTATGATTCATTCTGAAAATATCAATTTTAACTGCAGATTTTGATATTTTAGCCATTTGAAGGCAGAAAAGGATACAAAATCTCAATAATTGGAGAAATTTTCATCTCGTCATCCGTCTGTTTACAGCCATTTAAATTCTCATATTTCATCTAAAAGTTACTTTCATTTACTTTTCCCCTTTCCTTGGTTTGCCTGCTACACATATAAGATGTTAATCAATTCAATTTTATTTATACAGCGCGAAATCACAGCAACAGCCGCCTCAACGCACTTTATATTGTAAGGCAGACCCTACAATAATACATACAGAGACAAACCCAACAATCATATGACCCCCTATGAGCAAGCACTTTGGCGACAGTGGGAAGGAAAAACTCCCTTTTAACAGGAAGAAACCTCCGGCAGAACCAGGCTCAGGGAGGGGCGGGGCCATCTGCTGCGACCGGTTGGGGTGAGAGAAGGAAGACAGGATAAAGACATGCTGTGGAAGAGAGACAGAGATGAATAATAAATGGATTATCCAACCTGACACTACATTAGTGACATTAATATGCCTTCACATCACCTTTTAAAGCAGCTTTTGTAAGTGTATTCACACACATATTCACACAGCAGACAGATAAATGGAGCATCATTAGTATTTGGACTCGTTACCATGTGTTTTCTTAGGTCTTTTGTGTGCGTCTCTAACAGCTCCAGGGGGAAATATTTGACTTTTTAGCTGCTAACTGCTGCTGTGTTCACCGGCTAATTGCCAGCTTTGGATGCCTCATGTCAGGAGTGGGTGTACTGTAGTAGGAAACAAAAAGTAGTCGACGTGCTGCTGCAGAGACTTTGCTTTACTGAGACACTCGAGTTTGGAGGGGTGACAAATTGCAGCCGAGTGATAACAGATAACAAGCTTCCATTCAGTGATGAATTATAGAAAGTTGGGCTGTTTCCATGAAAACAATAAAAAAATAGTAACTTTATAAATAAAAAAGTTTGCCTCTCCAACCTGCTAAACGCTCTCCACAAACTTGCTTTAGATAGAAGAATCAAATCTACAAGCCTTCGAGTCCTTCATCCAACTTGGCTCGATTGCAGCTTTTGTGAAATCACAACTGACTTTGAGCGACTGGTACAGCTTTTTAACGATAAGCCTAACATGTGCTTAATATCTCAAATTTAGTTTGAGGCGTGTTTAACAAAAAGACTTCCAGGTCTGTCGCTTTATAAATGATGGATCAGCTCAGCCTTAATTTCCCTCCATCATCATTTTTCTTTACAAAGAATTAAAATCTTGTCAAGAAAATTAATAATTCTTTTATAAAATTAGCCTTTTAATTTCACTCCACACAGCTTTTCATATTCAACCTATTCATCTAAGCAACCACACTACCCTGGGGATGTCATCTGCTCTGAAAATAAAACATTACCAGGAAGAGAGACTTATAGCCATCCTTTGTTTTTGGTATCAGCTGGATCTTCTGGCTGCTTTGAGCCTAACCACTCCTCGTAGAGATTACATTATCTTAGATTTCCAGGGAATGGATTTGCTGCTAAAACTCCTGAAGTAATTTCTACTCTATCAAAGATTAGGGATGTAATGCTGACTCATTTTTCTGTTTTAATTAAACTCCATTCGTGATGGGCTTTCATGTTCTCATTGCAGCCCCGTTTTTTCCACCATACCATTGTGAGTCATGATTGTGTAAATTGTACCAGTCTTGTTCAGAAGTTGACTAAATAGGAAATGTCTCTCTTTCTTGTCACAGCAAGACTTCTTTGAGCGGCTGTACGTCATGTATACCATTGGCTATGCCGTGTCCTTCAGCTCTCTGCTAGTGGCCATCATGATCATTGGATACTTCCGGTAAGAGAGCAGTTTTTGCTTAAATCATAAACTGCAGTTTGTCAAATCTGAGCTTCTGCAGATAGAAAACACATCAGTGGGAGCTGGACTCCTGCTGCACATCCTGCTTTGGATTCTGAAAATCAGCAGTGGCAGGAACTTAAAAATAACAGCAACATTTAATGCCTTACTGACTTGAACTTTACAGGTTATGAAAATTCCCCAGCAGCCGGGATATTTATATTCTTGTGATGCCTCTGTCAGCTCCCTCGTCAGCTGGAATATTTGTGTCCTGTTGCCTCATGTACCGTTTCGAACCACATCTAGAGGATGCAGAGTTGAGTATACTTCAAATGGCAGAATGCTAATTAGTCTAATTTAGAGTGTGGTGATGGGGACGCTGCCGTCTCACACATCTGCATATGGAAATGTAAGATGTGCTCATTACAGATCTAAACTAAAACACATCCACTCTACTGGACATGTTAGAGATTAGCAGAATAAATAATGACTCATCTGTATGTCCACATGAGACAAGTAGAGATCATTTTATGTGCAGTGTTGACGTTCAGCGGCAGTGCAGCAGTATATGTAGCAAAACTGACCTTCAGGAGCCAAGATTTTCCCTTAGCAATTATTTTAGAACCACAGCCACATTTTTGAAAGTTTCGACAGTTGATGTAAATTTTTTACTTTGTCCTGTCGTATTGGAGCGTAGATATGAGTACCCAGAACGCAGCTTTCAGAGGCAGAATGGACAGAACAAAAATGTGAGCCGTGTCTGATCAAAGCCCAAAAATAACAAATCCAAAAGAGAACAGAGTCCAAAATGCAAAGTAACTAAAGCCAAGAAGAGCAGAGAGGGAAACATGCAGGGAGGCTGCAAGAAGACAAATACTATAAATACACACAAGCAACAGGTGAGGGGGATTACACAGGCGAGCTCAATCATGACAAACACAAAGTGGAAGTAAAACTAATCAATGCCATGAAGGGAAATCAGGCTGCAAAATAAAAGAGGAAATAGAAAACTACTACACACAGATACTGAAACATTAAGAGGCACGGGCGAACAGAGAGGGCAAATGTATAAGCGTAGGGAAATGATGGATGAACGACCAAGAACGAAAGACTGAAGGAACATAATGGAAAATTTAAGACCGCTGCTTCTCCGGGTCAAGCTGACCGTGCCGAATGAAAGGCTCTGACATGCTGTCATATTCTGTCTCCATGTAATCTTTCAGAAATACCACGTGTTGATGTACGAGTTATCTTTTATTACACAGCGCTCGGACCCTGGCAGAAAGATAGCTTGTCTGTATAAATATTCTAGGCTTGCAGTCCCTCTTGGTCAAAAAGCAGGCTACTGGCATGTTGTTTGACCCCTTTGCAAAGGTAAATGAAACTCACAAAGGCATCCTGTGTTCCTCAACAGGAACGGTGCAAGAAAAACTCAAAATAGGAACTGACACTTATTATAAACCAGGAATAAAAAAAACTGGACAATCATAAACCAACTAAGAACATTAAGAAATCAATCAGAAAATACCAGAAATATGAGAACATACTAAACAATATACACAAGGACACAGGGAGCCATTCTTATCTGGCTATGAGGTTAGCATACAAGTCACATCCTGTGTAGTGTTATGCAAACACATCCCTAATTACCAGATCCCGGGCTTCAAAACAAAGTCGTGCACACTTCCCCTCCAGTTCGTCATTCCCTGCATCGCCATCTGCACAGAGCTTGGATCCTGGTAAGCAGTCAATACCATGCCAACTGTTGCAAACAGCCTGGCTGGAAAGACTTAGAATTAGATTTTGGTGGGACTGAGTGTGAAAGGGGCAATCTCTCTGTTGATACGGTGTACTGTTGAAGTTGTAAATACACTGTAAACATCGACTTTTAAAAACCTTGTGCCTTCTTCTTGAAAAAGGGATCGGACCGATGGCTAGCTTTAACAAAATATGTGTCAGACTGACTCTGACCAGAACCCCGGCATTTATCCATGACTGCTACAGGTTTTTACATTTGTGATCCAAATAAAGAAAAATAAACGGCCTTGTAGATAAAACACAAATACATAAGAAAGATGTCATCCAAAAGAAATTGTAAATAGTGGTTTTGTAGTAGTTTTTATTTGGATATGTTTCCAAGCTTCTTCTTTTTTTTAATTAATCTAGAAAAAGTTGCATTTCCTGCGAAAATGCAGTGTGAATGCCGTGTAGTGGAATCTGAAAACAGCAGGAGGAGAACTATCTGCTGAAAACACTTTGTAGAAACTGAAGTCTTTGCTGAAAACCGTTGTATTTGAAAGGGTACACTGAACAATATCAATAAAGCACACTGAGTGCAAGCAGAGAAGACGTGTGACAACAGCCACAGGTAGGATTTGAACCTGCACCACCAGGTCTCACGGCAGCTGCTCATCTCACTGAGCCAAACTAGTTCTTGTCCCAAAGACAGATATGGTGAGAGAAAAAATGTGCAGGGTCCCGAAGAAGCTGAATCGTGCTGAAAAGAGGTGAAGAAGCAGAACTGTATACTCAAAACAGGCGAAAAGGCTGAAATTCTGCTGAAAGAGCAGAAGAGGCTGAAATTGAATTGAAATTGAAAAGAGCGGAACTTGAAGTTTCTGCTGAAAATAGGTGAAGAAAACCGCTGAACAACCTGTAATTTGTGCTGAAAAGAGGTGAAAAAGCTAAAGTGTTTACTGAAAAAAATGTTGCGGGATTCGAACCCTCCTGCTCTGAAAACGGCTGCTCATCTCACTGAGCTAAAACACAGCTCAGCCCGGCAAGCTAACCTGGTGATCACACTGCTAATGTGGTCCCATTCATTAAAATGAGTCAAAAATGACATAGAAAGTTTAATATTTCAAAAAGTATAAAAGTTATCAGCACCAAAAGATATGGCTGGCATTAGCAGAATGAGCAGAAGAGCTTAAAATTTGAATGGTGAAAATCGGATGAAAACTAAGGGAGTAGTTAAGCGGCAAAGAAACGGAGCAACTAGAATAAAGTAGAAGATTAAAGTTTACAGCGAAACAGGATCTCAGTCACGGAATTCACACTATTAATGTTGAAAGTGGTGCCAGTGGAGCTTTTCACCTGGACCACATGAAGGACTTTTTCCTGCTGTGCTTCTGCACTCTGGGAATAAAAGTGGTTTGCTGAACATCTGTGGAAACCAGTAAAGGAATGGATACAGAATCTGATCTTCAAAATCACCATCAATGGCCATCAAAGTTATCAATGTCCATCACTGATTAGGGTAAATTAATTTTTTAACTGGTTCGATTTAAATTGATTAGTTCTAACGAATAACAGCTTCTGAACTATGTTATTTTAAGTAACCTTGAAAAGGAAACTGCAGAATCATGGGCTCAGTTATTTTTAGTATTTTTGAAGGCAGGTTATATCCAAGCAACAGGAAGATACCTCTAATGATCCGGTAACTGGAGCCGGAGCGGCCAACCACATTCATCTGAAAAAGACTCTGCAAATTATGTGACTTACTGTAACAGCTCGCTTCCTTACATAAGAGGATTCAAACAAGTGTAAAGAAATATTTTAAATTATGAAAATAAAAGCTTTGATGTAGATGAAAACTTCGTTTCACATGGACCTGAGAGAGATGCAAGTAAACAGGAGGCGATCATTTCAAACTGCCTTTAATTTTGCAGTTCCACTGGCAGGGCTCTCCTGATTTATTATGGCGTGTTACGGTAGGTGTAATAATCCCATCAACACTTCAAAAACCTTTTGGAAATCCCTGCCCACCTGAAATTGTATATCACACAAAAACCCACTTACCGGTAACTGAAGACGGCATTTCTTAAGATTTAAAACCTGAGTGTAAGAACTGGTCATTTATGCAACACCAGTGTTACACGTTCCCATTTAGAAGCACCTCTCCTGCCTTCTGCATAAAAATAATCCAGAACAATGAGCTCTGTGCCACCACTGATGGGTATCCTGTGTGTAGGTAAACTTCCTCCTGATTTTAACACCAAGTTTTGACTGGGTTGCGAGAGATGGAAGCTGAAAGTTGAGTCAACATCCTCTTACTCTTCAGATGCTAAAGTGCCCGAGGTGATCAGAGATGCATGTTTAAAAAGGGAAACTTCAAACAGAGCACATTTTCTGGATCATTTGCAGCTGAAATTTCAAAGAGCCATCAAGGCTCCGTTTGACAAATACAGGCCTTAAATCCAGTGTTTCTGACTTCTTACAGTGCCGACAAATCTCTGATTCTGATTCTTTATCAGCCCTCAAAGCTCCCGCTGCTGTCTGCCTCAGTTTTTGTCTCTAGAGATAATGTAAACAATGTGTGTTAGAAAATGTAAAGCGCCCTTTAAAGAGCTGCAGTACATTAACCCTATGCAAGCCACAGTCAGCAGTGCTGAG